GTCCTTAGTAAAAGATGTCCACTGTCCATGGTGAAACATGTCAACTGTCAATAGTGAAACATGTCCACTGTCCCTAGTGAAACATGTCCACTGTCCCTGGAGAAACATGTCAACTGTCACTAGTGAAACATGTCCACTGTCACTGGTGAAACCCGTCCACTGTCCCTGGTGAAACATGTCCATTGTCCCTGGTGAAACATGTCCAATGTCCCTGGTGAAACATGTTTACTGTACATGGTTAAACATGAAAACTGTCCCTGGTGAAACATGTCAACTGTCACTGGTTAAACATATCCACTGCTTTAGTGAAACATATTCACTGTCCTTAGTGAAACATGTCCACTTTCCCAGGTGAAACATGTCCACTGTCCTTAGTGAATCATGTTCTCTGTCAATAGTGAAACATATCCAATGGCCCTGGTGAACCATGTTTACAGCCCTTAGTAAAAAATATCCACTTTCCCTGGATAAACTTGTCAAACAGGCCCTGGAGAAACATGTCCACTGTCCCTGGCTAAACATATCCACTGTATTTATTGAAACATATCCACACTCGCTGGTGAAACATGTCAATTGTCTTTAGTGAAACATGTCAAATTCCCTAGAGAAGCATGTCCACTGTCCCTGGTTAAACATATCCACTGTCTTTATTGAAACATTTCCACAGTCTGTAGTGAAACATGTCCACTGTCCTTGGTGAAACATGTCCACTGTCCCTAGTGAAACATGTCCACTGTCCCTAGTGAAACATGTCCACTGTCCCTAGTGAAACATGTCCACTGTCCTTAGTGAGACATGTCCACTGTCCCTAGTGAAACATGTCCACTGTCTGTAGTGAAACATGTCCACTGTCCTTAGTGAAACATGTCCACTGTCCCTGCTGAAACATGTCCACTGTCCCTAGTGAAACATGTCCACTGTCCCTAGTGAAACATGTCCACTGTCCTTAGTGAAACATGTCCACTGTCCCTAGTGAAACATGTCCACTGTCCCTGGTGAAACATGTTCACAGTCCCTGGTGAAACATGTCAACTGTCACTAGTGAAACATGTCCACTGTCCCTAGTGAAACATGTCCACTGTCCCTGATGAAACATGTCCACTGTCCCTGGTGAAACATGTCCACTGTCCCTGGTGAAACATGTCAACTGTCACTAGTGAAACATGTCCACTGTCCCTGGTGAAACATGTCTACTGTCCCTGGCTAAACATATCCACTGTCTTTATTGAAACGTGTCCACACTCGCTGGTGAAACATGTCCACTGTCTTTAGTGAAACATGTCAACTGTCCCAGGATAAACATGTCTACTGTCCCTGGCTAAACATATCCACTGTCTTTATTGAAACATGTCCACAGTCTGTAGTGAAACATGTCCACTGTCCTTGGTGAAACATGTCCACTGTCCCTGCTGAGACATGTGCACTGTCCTTAGTGAAACATCTCCACTGCGCCTAGTGAAACATGTCCACTGGCTGTGATGAAAACTGTCCACTGGCCCTGGTGAAAAATGTCCACTGTCCTTAGTAAAACATGTCCACTGTCCATGGTGAAACATGTCAACTGTCACTAGTGAAACATGTCCACTGTCCCTAGTGAAACATGTCCACTTCCCTGGTGAAAAATGTCCACTGTCCTTAATAAAACATGTCCACTGTCCATGGTGAAACATGTCAACTGTCACTAGTGAAACATGTCCATTGTCCCTGGTGAAACATGTCCATTTTCCCTGGTGAAACATGTCCACTGTCCCTGGTGAAACATGTCCACTGTCCCTGGTTAAACATGTAAACTGTCCCTGGTGAAACATGTCCACTGTCACTGGTGAAACATGTCAACTGTCCCTGATGAAACATGTCCACTGTCCCTGGTGAAACATGTCCACTGTCACTGGTTAAACATGTCAACTGTCACTAGTGAAACATGTCCACTGTCCATGGTGAAACATGTCCACTTTCCCTAGTGAAACATGTCCACTGTTCCTGTTGAAACATGTCCACTGTCCCTGATGAAACATGTTCGTTGTCCCTGGCGATTAATGAAGTAGAAGATATGTTTTGGATTGTTCAACCCAAGAGTCTAGTATCAGCAAGTGAAGAAGAGTTATTGGTGTCCATTCCAAAATTAAATTTTACTATGATGAGTTATCAAAAGATGAACTTTTAAAAGTAATATCAAGGCTTAGAAGACACCTAAATGCAGCTGATATTGAATTACACAAAGTCGTGGGCTGGTCAGTATTTGATGTTTTGGAATTCATAGCTGAATGAGACTTTCTAGAATCTCATCCAATACTCTCCTCTTGTGAGCAGAGCTTTCCAAAAACTGAGGCTTATCAAGAAAAATGGATAATTCATCATAGGACAGTCAAGGCTTTGTGATGTAGCTCTGCTATAAATTGAAAGTAGGACAGTCAAGGCTTTGTGATGTTGCTCTGCTATCAATTGAAAGTAGGACAGCCAAGGCTTTGTGATGTTGCTCTGCTATCAATTGAAAGTAGGACAGTCAAGGCTTTGTGATGTAGCTCTGCTATCAATTGAAAGTAGGACAGTCAAGGCTTTGTGATGTAGCTCTGCTATCAATTGAAAGTGATACAGTGAAAGACAATGCATTTTGCTCAAGTCATTGACAGGTTTGCAGATTGAAAACAAGGAAAGGAAAATTTTAAACAAAGTAAACTTAATATAAAAATAACTATAACTTAACGTTGTTACAGGTTGTAAATACATTGACCTCGTGACCTTCGATTAATGTGTTTTTTTTATTGTCATTGTTAGACTGTGGACTAAGTTTAACAAGAAGAAAAAATCCATCATGGAATTTTTTCTTGGAGTGGGGAGGGCAGGGGGGGGGGACACCATGAGTTTACCGCACAGGGTAACACCAACCCTAGCTACGCCACTGCCAATATAATATTGCGAAGAGTTTACCAATAGAGTATAACAAATTAATATACCAATATAATATAACAAAATAATATACCAATAGAATGTAACAAAAATATTAAAACAGAATATAACAAAAGAATATAACAATAGAAAATAACAAAGGAAGATGCCATTGAATATCTCGAAAGAATATAACAATAGAAAATGACAATAATCATTGATTGTTTATTAATCTGTATCAGAAAATGGAACTCAATTCTTGTGATGTAAGCTCTAAAAACTCGCCCTGTTCACTAAGAGTAACAGGATACAGACTGTAAGGTAATCCATGGATGTTTGAATATACACACTTCTCAAAAAATGGATAGTTGAAAATAACCACTTTTCATTAGCATAGAAAATGTACTCGTCTATGTGCTTGACATAAATATGTAACCATAAAACTGAGTGCAATAATTAGTCATATTTGTTGGGACATGTGCAAGGTTTCATAGACAGGTAGACGTCATATCCTGTGGGGATTATCTAGTGAGCGCTTTTTTCAGACGAGGCGCGCACGAGATAAAGGTCTCCAGGGGAGTAACGAAAGCAATCAGTGGATCAAGGGCGTTTATTTACTGCCTGGATATGGGACTCTCTGTATAATATACCGTCTGGATAATATCCTGCATGGATTATATATTGTCGGGATAATGACAGTCTGGATAATATCCTGTCCGGATAATATATTGTCGTGATAATGACTGTCTGGATAATATGCTGCCTAGATAATATATTTTTGGATAATATGTTTTTGGATAATAACTGTCTTGATAATAACTGTCTGGACAATATACTGCTTGGATAATATATTGTCTGGATAATTACTGTTTGGATAACACAATATCTGGATAAAATACTTTCTGGATAATTTACTGTCTGGATAAGCATTTAAATTAAAAAGCGTTGCTTAGAATTGTAGTTGTTACAATAAAAATTGCGCACAATTAAGTCTCTCTAAATAGCTATTTGGTCACGTGACACCAAGCGCTTGACTTGAATGGAATCAGATGACACCAATCTGAACACTCATGAAATCAATCACCGCCACAGTCCTATTTCACACACGACACAAAGTATCCTGAAAGAGTGACAACTGTATGCACAAAGTATCCTGAAAGAGTGACAACTGTAGGCACAAAGTATCCTGAAAGAGTGACAACTGTATGCACAAAGTATCCTGAAAGAGTGACAACTGTATGCACAAAGTATCCTGAAAGAGTGACAACTGTATGCACTTTCATAGGACTTTCTCACTGTTGTGTATGCACAAAGTATCCTGAAAGAGTGACAACTGTATGCACAAAGTATCCTGAAAGAGTGACAACTGTATGCACAAAGTATCCTGAAAGAGTGACAACTGTAGGCACAAAGTATCCTGAAAGAGTGACAACTGTATGCACAAAGTATCCTGAACAAGTGACAACTGTATGCACAAAGTATCCTGAAAGAGTGACAACTGTATGCACAAAGTATCCTGAAAGAGTGACAACTGTATGCACAAAGTATCCTGAAAGAGTGACAACTGTATGCACAAAGTAACACATCCTAACGATAGCTTCTCAATACCGAACAACGACTTCTCTACGTTTCTGCGAGAGGGAAAGGAATCTGATACTAATTTCACCCCGACCTAAGAAGCGAAGGCGTAATTGTAAGGTCGTAGCGAAATGCTTTGAAAATACAGGACTACTTTTCACCATACATTTACCAAACATTCATGACGTCGTATATATACTCGTGTATTTGACTCACAACATATACGATCTGCTTAACCGTTGCACAGAACACGCAATGACAACACGACCTTTAGAGCCATGACACCAATGACGCTGGAATCGCCCAACCCAAACGACGCTGGAATTCCCCCAATACAGACTTCTGGGCCTTGGGGTTTGTCTTATCAATATTTACACAACCATTTAAACCATTTTTTAAAATATTTATAAACCATTTATTTCGCGCTCGCTAGTTGGTCTACTTAAGTTTGGATGGAAGCCCTTCCCAGAACCATTGCCCTTCCCGTCACCCTGGTTCTTCACGATACCCCTGACCCTCCCCCCCCACCGAATTATCCTGGCCCTCTACAATACCCCTGAACATTCACAATACCCCTGAACATTCACAATATCCCTGAACATTCACAATATCCCTGATCATTCACAATATCCCTGATCATTCACAATACCCCTGAACATTCACAATATCCCTGATCATTCACAATACCCATGTCTTTCCCGAAGGTGGGATATTACCCGGACATACAATATTTGGGTTATTTCAATTACAAGGTAATACTGGTGGGATATGAATGTTCTACTAAAGTGGTAACTCATTCAGCGATTCCGTCCAAATGGTCTCGTCGGTTGGGTCTTCTAGCGTCGGAATGCCCAAGGTCTTTACAAGAATCCAGAACAAGATCACGGAGACCACCACAACAGGTACGGCTATGAACCAGAGGTTGTTTCCATTTTGAGTGAGCAGGTCGGCTGAAAATAATTTTAACCAAAATAAAAAGTTATTTTGTTATTTAACCATCTCAAAACACTGATAATTAATAACATTGACATGTTCGTTACAATCAAATCTATCACCAAGTTAAACAAAACACTGATAATTAATAACATTGACATGTTCGTTACAATCAAATCTATCACCAAGCAAATATTGAAATTCGCTATTACATAATTGATTCTGCATTATAAAATTTAAGAGTAAACTACTTTTTAACTTGTTGATTAACAAGCTACACATGGAATGAAATGTTTTCCTTAAAATTGTATGCGTCATTTAAATAGATCAGCTCGAAGTAAAATGTATTTATAAATATAGTTATAGTACAATTGTATGCGTCATTTAAATAGATCAGCACGAAGTAACATGTATTTATAAATATAGTTATAGTACAATTGTATGCGTCATTTAAATAGATCAGCACGAAGTAAAATGTATTTATAAATATAGTTATAGTACAATTGTATGCGTCATTTAAATAGATCAGCTCGAAGTAAAATGTATTTATAAATATAGTTATAGTACAATTGTATGCGTCATTTAAATAGATCAGCACGAAGTAAAATGTATTTATAAATATAGTTATAGTACAATTGTATGCGTCATTTAAATAGATCAGCACGAAGTAAAATGTATTTATAAATATAGTTATAGTACAATTGTATGCGTCATTTAAATAGATCAGCACGAAGTAAAATGTATTTATAAATATAGTTATAGTACAATTGTATGCGTCATTTAAATAGATCAGCACGAAGTAAAATGTATTTATAAATATAGTTATAGTACAATTGCTTGTTTTGTTTTGTTGTTTAAGAGTGGGGGGGGTATAAAATGTTGACATAATTAAATAGTTGTTGACAAGTTAGGGGGGAAGTGGGTCCAAAATTGCGTAACAATTGACTTTGCTTTTACTTACCATATTCTGGGTCTTGTAACGCGTGCCACCTGCAATACCGACTCTTGCCTGGGGTGAGCCTGAGGTCCACATTGCATCTGAAACCGCGTATGGTTCTACCCCTACATTTCTGTTTAGTGCGTAAAATAAGATAATATTGGTTAAGTCTGTCAGATCATGTGAGAAGGTCTATTCAAAGCTCTAAACAAATCTACAGAGAAACTTTCCAGACTCTCTTGGGAAATTCCTTATCTTAGCAAGATAGATTATTTCTAGTTAAATAATGTTAACAATTTCCTATTTATTGATGAAACTACATTTTTTAAAAATAGGTGTCACTAGACCCTGATGTCTGCGATGTAATCCCTAGAATCTGATGTCTACGATCTGATCCCCTCCAAGGGTATTGTCTGCTAACAGATGGCATGTCAGCGTCACTAAACTCCGATGTCTACGATCTGATCCCCTCCAAGGGTATTGTCTGCTAACAGATGGCATGTCAGCGTCACTAAACTCCGATGTCTACGATCTGATCCCCGCCAAGGGTATTGTCTGCTCCGCTAACAGATGGCATGTCAGCGTCAGACTCCGATGTCTATGACCTGATCCCAGCCAAGGGTATTGTCTGCTAGCAGATGGTATGTTAGTGAAGACACCCCAGCCTTTGCACTGTCTGCCCACTGTCTGTGCCATTTTTTTGCGAAATCATCAGCAAGTTTTGATTCCTATGTAGGTTAGTGGTACTGGTTGAGGCTGGGTAGATTTCTGATCGTTAATGCTGCATAACCTTTGTGGTGAGTTTCCGCTGCGATGACAGGAAACCAACACGTCGGGCAAAGCGAACCCATGACAATTGGCCATAAGACATCCACACACAGTAATCTGCTTGGACGTTTCTTATAACTCACTCTATGTAGCATACACGAGAGTGAGTCTCCTTGTTTTAGGCCTCGTCCAATGTGAAAATCACTACTTTAATATTCTCCATGAATCTAGATTTTTCTTAGTTGTTTATTGCTATACGTATTAGTCTTGTCAGTTTGTTGGGTGTGACATACTTCTGCAAAGTCTTATATAGATATTTTACTTTAATGTAGATATAAGGACATTATATAGTCCACATAGTTGATGTACTGGGATATTACAATCTTAACATATGATGATCATGCTTCTGCTGGTGGATATATGATCAGTCTGACCTCATGTGTCTGATATCACATTGGTAATGACCTAGTGTGTGTTCAGTGTATGGTAGAAGACTTTAGGCAGTTAGTTTGTCAGTGTTTTCTATGTAAAATTTAATAGGGAAATACCGCTGTAGTTTATGAATTGAAGTTTGGAGCCTTTCTTGTGTATTGGGGCTGTTGGAATTTTCTAGTTATGATTTAATGTGTCCGAGTGTGTAGTTCTGTTCCTCCATGTTTATAAATTCTGCTGTGATGAAGTCTTCTCCAAATTTTTTTTTCTCCATAGAATTGGTTACTTTTGTAGTTTCTTACGCAATTGGCCGGTTTATCAAAGTTTTCTCGAAATCCAATAGGCCTTGGATTAAAGGATTATAAGCTGGTTCCCAACAGCAAATCGCCTCTCTCCACGCCGCTGGACAACCCAAGGGAACATCATTGGATGATACAGCTTGGCACCAGTGACGTCGCAGGAGTTGCCGGAATGTCTCATTGTATCAATGTTATCCGCCTCTCGGGACTCCATCTCTGGGTTTGATTTCTAAGTTGCCTTCTCTTAGATGAGTTGCCATCCAAGGTTAACGAGTATGCTCGGCTGCTGTTCCTCGAGGACGAAGAGGCGAAGAAGAGAGGATATTTGATACTACTGTAGATTGACATATGCTTGTACTTAGTTTTTGTCGTGTTGTGTTTGTTTTAAATGTGGTAAACTATAGATTTGTTGTTTTTTTTGACTTTGTACCGCGCTTCAATGCCTTTGGGGATGAAGCGTGTTTTTGAAATGAACTTTATTATTATTATTATCTGCCCGGGGTGCTTGTGATGAATTGAACTCCAGGCCACCAACTTGAGATTTGCTCAGTTTAGACCACTCAGCCACCCAGCCACCCAGCCACCCAGCCACCCAAGTTTTCTCTTAGTCTTTTATCCTCATGAACATTCCACTGATATTTCTTCTGATACTTTTAGTTTAGTTTTTACGAATATTCCAAATGTAATTTCCTACACATTTTTGTGACCTTTCTTCTGTCCTACACATTTTTGTGACCTTTCTTCTGTCCTACACATTGTTGTGACCTTTCTTCTGTCCTACACATTGTTGTGACCTTTCTTATGTCCTACACATTGTTGTGACCTTTCTTCTGTCCTACACATTGTTGTGACCTTTCTTCTGTCCTACACATTTTTGTGACCTTTCTTCTGTCCTACACATTTTTGTGACCTTTCTTCTGTCCTGCACATTGTTGTGACCTTTCTTCTGTCCTGCACATTTTTGTGACCTTTCTTCTGTCCTGCACATTTTGTGACCTTTCTTCTGTCCTGCACATTTTTGTGACATTTCTTCTGGCTCCATTGAATGTTTGAGTTGTCTTTCTGGTTTCCCTTTGTATCATGTCCATTCGTCTCTTATTTCTATCTTTGACTACTTCTTCTGCTGACCTTTTGCTAGCCTTCATTATCCTATCCCACTGTTCATTGATACTGCTTTACCAGTTTATTTCCTCATGTGGTTAATTTGCTTATTTAAATCCCAGATGAAGTACCTAAAACTACCTTGGATTCTGTGTGACATGATGAAGAACTGGCAAATACGGTGAATATGCGTTTATCGCACCAGGAGACACCAAGATAAACGAGAACTCTTCAGTCTACAGAAACAATTTTATAACATGGAAACTTACCCTCAAAGGGTACGGCCCTTCCCTAGAGGGCATTCCTGCTTCCACAGGTCGAGAACACGATTAATACTCTATATGAGGCGTTACCAAATATGACCTTCAAGCTTAGCGAGACTTGAAAACTGCAACGTTTTCAAAGTATAGAATTACAAAATGGGCCTTGTTATTGCAAGAAAACAATTTAGATGTTAATTATATCTAAGGAGAAGTATTCATGGATAATAACTTCATGTGGCGCTATGAGGGCCATAGTACTAGCGTGGAATAGTGTATTGTGGGTGACATTGGTTACTCAAGGCTTGAGAACCAAAGTTTTGGTGAGTCCATCCTAGACTCAGACAGTCTTGTTGTGACTTATTGGGTTGACCGTAGACACATAAGAGTCCGTGGAGAAGGTGAGCTTTTTCCCTGATTGGGGGTTATGGCGGAGCGATGATGTTATTGTGGAAACATTATGTCATGTGGGGTTAAGGGAGAAAAAAAATTGTGTTGTTGAAAAAATTTGATCTGTTGTGTAGGTGAGTGTTTTACAGGCATTGGTAGGTGAGGCTTGTAACTGTTGTGTTGATAATTTATGTGAACATTTGTTTCATTCAAAGTGTCAATAATTTTTTGTGTAATGTTGTGAACTAGTTTGTTTACATTTGGCCCTTGATCATAGACAGGAGTGAGAAGGCTAATATTTATAATTGTTTATAATTGTAATAACATGGCTGTCCCCAGGAAGTGCAGGTGTGGCCATTTTTTTCTCCATAATATAACATTTTATGCAAAACTTGTATGATTTTATGACCTGACCATAGGTATATCGATTCTACTATAAGTAGAATTTGGAAAAGGAAAGGGTAAGAAATGTCAAGGTCATGAAATCATAGATAATGTGTGTGTGTTTTGATTTTGGGGACAAATGAGTTGACAGATTTCGGTATCTCATACTTTATTGCAATCCTGTGGAGATCTACTTTTCTGTATCGCAATTATACTGCTACACAGTATCCTAAGGTCAAGGAATCATGTGATCCTATAGCAGATATAATAAAGTACTGTTAGTGACCATTGGCCATTGGGTTACTTACCGCAGAGACCGACAGAGAGAACAAGGGCAAGACTAGAGGAACGGGTGGCGTCGAAGCACAATCTTGGCCACACTCGGAGGAAGAGAATTGCACACGATCGTAATGACTGAATGACTCTGTAGGCGGCCTAAAGATGGATCACAGTCGCTGATGGAGCTCGGCTGGTTGCTGTTCCTCGAGGACGAAGAGGCGAAGAACAGAGAATATTTCATACTACTGTATCACTTAATTAGCCAGCCAGGATAAATAATTCATTTATTTTAAAAAAGTGACTTCTAGGTTTTGCAATTGGTCTCTTGGGATGATTTGAGGCTGTGCATTGTAAAATTCTTCCAACGCAAACTCGCCCTTGTAAAATAATTAGCAACCTACCCCCAGTTTTGCCCATGCAGTAGGATAACCCGATTATCTCCCTTTGTGTTATTGCATTTCGATGCGCAAACAGCTCACGGAAAATCGTGACTCTTGTTGTCACCGCTTGCCGCTATAAACTTTCTGGGTGGAAGGTCGAACCCGTAATCTTAGACTGATGTCATTGGATGGGAAAACATACAACTTTTAAACCACCGAATTAAAATCACCCACGAACTTCAATCAGCTGATTAGAATCGGTCTTGTATACTTGATTGCGAACGCTGTAGACTACCATACTTCGGACCTCATAAGCGTGATCCCATACTTCGGACCTCTTAAGCGTGATCCCATACTTCGGACCTCATAAGCGTGATCCCATACTTCGGACCTCATAAGCGTGATCCCATACTTCGGACCTCATAAGCGTGATCCCATACTTCGGACCTCATAAGCGTGATCCCATACTTCGGACCTCATAAGCGTGATCCCATACTTCGGACCTCATAAGCGTGATCCCATACTTCGGACCTCATAAGCGTGATCCCATACTTCGGACCTCATAAGCGTGATCCCATACTTCGGACCTCATAAGCGTGATCCCATACTTCGGACCTCATAAGCGTGATCCCATACTTCGGACCTCATAAGCGTGATCCCATACTTCGGACCTCATAAGCGTGATCCCATACTTCGGACCTCATAAGCGTGATCCCATACTTCGGACCTCATAAGCGTGATCTCATACTTCGGACCTCATAAGCGTGTTCATCAACTGGCACCTAGAATGCTAGTATGTACGCAACCATGGTTCTAAAACCTTTTATTAATGCGCTTGTTATGTTCTCACAGTTTTGTAGCAAGGATCCGAACGTTAGTGTTATATAATATGTACTCTATGTCGGTGTGTTTAAGCCACGCCTACGCCGCGAGCTGCGACACACCCCCGTATGGTGAAGACACGCCATCATGGCGATGGTATGCTGTTATTCCCACTCGCCCATGTGTCTTTTTACAAGATGAAAATATGTGTATTATGTACCCATACAATTATTGGTTATTATGATTGAATGTCTAATACTTGAATTAAAATGTTTACTTTGTGCAAAATTCTCGCTAAGCCTCACATGCTTACGCCGACAATGAAAAAGATTTATAAATCTTTCCACATATTGGATGCATATGTAGAAGCTATGTCACCTTCAATACCTCGATCTCAATTCGTTGCTGTTGGAATGTGACTTGTCAGCTTGTGAATATTTGTCTAGATACTTCATATCCATTTTGTATCATTTCGCATGTAGCCTGGTTGTATTATCACTGAACGACGCACCTTGAAGGTGGAACTAACGGATCGTTTTTCACGTCTCACGCAAATATTACCTACGGCTACGATAAGGACCTCGAGATTCAAGGACTCTTATCACCCACGATTTAACGTTGGAGAGTCTACTTCCCCGTCGAAGAAATTACACAGAAACTCTTGGAACAAGAAGGTGTCACCTTCTACGACTGGGAACGCTTAAAAGTTCACAAGACAGGAACTGAAGACACATTTCAGGAACAGAAGAAACTCAAACACCAATTGACCCCCCGAGATTAACATTGAAACTATATAAGGCCAAGCCAACATTGATTAAAAATATGACCTTGAGCAAATGTAGCATTTATAATGCTGATACTAGGTAATTGTATATATATTCTCTAACAAAGGAGGGAAATAAAAACATTGATGTAAGTATCCATTGTGAATATAGATACATTATTATGTGTGTATGGTAACTTAGCTTAACTAAATTAATCCGATAGACAGAGTGCTAAGAGGAGATATCATACTAGAGCTTCTACTCACAGTCAACAATTTACCGCTCTCTGGGCAACGCTTAACCGGAAGCGATGTTTTCTGCATGTCATTTGGTTTGAACGTTTGGTGCGAAGATTTTGCGCACAACTTGCTGCGAAAAAAGGGTTACAAGCTATTGTTTTCAATGGTAAATCTATATATTTTTTGTTGTTGTTGTTCGTCCATCGAAGTCGACTAGGACCATCGAATCATCCGGTTCGGGGGAGATTGGGATTAGGGTGAGCTCGTAGGTGGCTTGCTAGACCGATTCTTGCTCGGAATAATCTATGATACCGTGGGCATGGAATAGTTGCTTCAGACGGTGACCTAATGTTGCTCTTTCGGACAAGCCTGCGTGTCTCAGCTGTGGTTATTCTATTAGCTTCATGGGATTTAGCCCCCTTCTTGACAGCAGCTCTCCACCTGGCTCTGTCCTGGGCTGTCTGCACCCTTTGAGTAGGGTTTATGCTGGAGGCCTTTAGTGCCACTTTCAGTGAGTCTATATCTATACAAATGAATGTATGTATGTATCTTTGTATGTCTTGTATGCGCTCCTACAACATTCATGCGAAAGCAACAAAACTTTGGTCAGTTGTTGTCCACATAACCGCCCATTGAACTGAGTCATTCTAACCCTTATCAAATGTTCCGTTTTCAGCCTTTGGCCATAAATTCGTTTTTTTTTCTCATAAAAAGTAATTTCCGTATGTTCTCCTACTCTATTTATCCGATTGTGATAAAACTTTGGTGAGATGTTGAGAGCATGCCCGCAAAGGTTTTTAAATTATTAAAACCGTTTTAAAATATTCAGTTTTGATCCAGGGGCCCTATGTTCATTTTTTTCTAATATGAGCTTTACAAATACATTTTCAAACCGTATGCGCTCCTACACCATTCATGTGATTGCAGCAAAACTGTTTGTGGATGATTGGTCAACTGTTTATGGATCACTGGTCAACTGTTTGTTGATCACTTGTCAACTGTTTGTGGATCACTGGTCAACTGTTTGTGGATGATTGGTCAACTAATTGTGGATCATTGGTCAACTGTTTGTGAATCACATGTTTACAGTTTGTGGATCATTTGTCAACTGTTTGTGAATCACTTGTCAACTGTTTGTGGATCACTGGCCAACAAATTTGTTTCTGTAAATAAATTAAATTATATGTAGTACTTTGATTGCAATATAAGCTTTGTAGGCACGAGTAAACCAACAGGGGGGGGGGTGGGGTGGCACTTTGGTTGGGAGGAGCAGTTTCGGTACAGTTTAAAGTTTTAAGCCGATCTTACGTTAAGTAGCAGTGGAAGGATCCTAGGGGTCATGCAGTGCAGATGTCAAATTAACTTTCATACGTACGGGGTAATAGGACACTTGCTACAATTTTTCGGGTAGTTTTAGAACTTTACTGGGTCTCTATGCAGCCTGCCTGGAACAGATTGACCTACCGTATCATCTAATCTATATAGCTTACCTGGAACAGATCGACCTACCGTATCATCTAATCTAGATATAGCCTGCCTGGAACAGATCGACCTACCGTATCATCTAATCTAGATATAGCCTGCCTGGAACAGATCGACCTACCGTATCATCTAATCTATATAGCTTACCTGGAACAGATCGACCTACCGTATCATCTAATCTATATAGCTTACCTGGAACAGATCGACCTACCGTATCATCTAATCTAGATATAGCCTGCCTGGAACAGATCGACCTACCTTATCATCTAATCTAGATATAGCCTGCCTGGAACATCGACCTACCGTATCATCTAATCTATATAGCTTACCTGGAACAGATCGACCTACCGTATCATCTAATCTATATAGCTTACCTGGAACAGATCGACCTACCGTATAATCTAATCTATATAGCTTAACTGGAACAGATCGACCTACCGTATCATCTAATCTATATAGCTTACCTGGAACAGATCGACCTACCGTATCATCTAATCTATATAGCTTACCTGGAACTGATCGACCTACCGTATCATCTAATCTATATAGCTTACCTGGAACAGATCGACCTACCGTATCATCTAATCTATATAGCTTACCTGGAACAGATCGACCTACCGTATCATCTAATCTATATAGCTTAACTGGAACAGATCGACCTACCGTATCATCTAATCTATATAGCTTACCTGGAACAGATCGACCTACCGTATCATCTAATCTATATAGCTTACCTGGAACAGATCGACCTACCGTATCATCTAATCTATATAGCTTACCTGGAACCTACCGTATCATCTAATCTATATAGCTTACCTGGAACAGATCGACCTACCGTATCATCTAATCTATATAGCTTACCTGGAACAGATCGACCTACCGTATCATCTAATCTATATAGCTTACCTGGAACTGATCGACCTACCGTATCATCTAATCTATATAGCTTACCTGGAACAGATCGACCTACCGTATCATCTAATCTATATAGCTTACCTGGAACAGATCGACCTACCGTATCATCTAATCTGTATAGCTTACCTGGAACAGATCGACCTACCGTACCATCTAATCTATATAGCTTACCTGGAACAGATCGACCTACCGTATCATCTAATCTATGTAGCTTACCTGGAACAGATCGACCTACCGTATCATCTAATCTTCAATTGAAAAATTGAATCAAAATTTTAATAAATTTTCCCTATAGTTAATGGGTATTCACTTTTTATGAAGAGTAAATTAGATTTTGATAAGGACCACAAGAGTTTAGATTGATACTGTCGTCGGATGACAGATCGATAAGTTTTTATTATTCATTCCTGCTTAAATTGCTGTCTTCAATATTTGCAGCAAATGGATCTATTTTAAACATACTCTTATGTCTGGAACCTTCTTTCATTGGGTAAAACTGGCGACAATATGTTACGACTGCTTGAAAGAGCTGTTCAAGTGCCAGTTGCCATTTTTCTCTCACAGATTAGTATCGACATTTGAAAACATTTGCAGA